AAGAGCGATGTCGACAGAGGCCAATCCCGTCTCTTGATTCCTTTCCTGCAGATCGTGGAGAAAGATTTCTTGAGAGAGGAGGAGAAGAGAGAGATCGATGAACAGTACGAGAGAAGCAAGATCAAAGTGAACGGTAAGAGGGTCTGGACGAAGAAGATAGACACCGCCTTCAACGTGATCATGGTCGATCCGATGTCGAGGGAGTGGAATATGATTCTGGGGAGATGGAACATGTCCAAGGAGGGGGGAGCCACTTCGAACTACGCGCTGCAGGTGAGCTGGAACAGCGTTGTCCAAGACAAGGAACTGGTCACTGGAGATGTGATCGAGCTCTGGTCGTTCCGTGTCAGAGGCAGACTTCAGCTCGCCATCTTTACTCATCGAGAGATCTTTCCCCTTAATTAGCACGTGATTTTTTGTTTTGGTTAGTGGGTTGATCCATAGTAATGTATGTATCCCTACATTTTAAATAATGATTTTTTAAATACTAATAATTTATAATATATTTATTAATATACATATGATAAATAATTAAAATTATATTTTGAGTTATGTTTGTGTTTTTTTAACATTAAATTTATCAATTAATATAATTAAAAAAAATTATTTAATATTTTTATAAAATATATATATATATTTTGTACGCGACGGCTCTCTATGGGTATAACTCTGTTAGGGTTTTAGTTTATGATAAGTCTCAGATTCAAGGATTCAGAAAATGGTTTCTCATATCATTCCAAAACAGAGCATACACCACTTTATACTACCGAATGTTAAACTAACCTAGAACGATTCAAGGAAACAAAATATACATTCCAGATTTGTAGGAACAACTAAATATATACATGTTGTTTTTGGTTTTATATCAAATCTGGCGTACTGCCATAATACCCTCCCTCAAGTTGGAGCGTATAAATCTTGTATGCCCAACTTGGATAGAAATGAAGCAAACTCCTTTTGACCAAGTGATTTCGTGAAGATATCAGCCAGTTGAGCATGCGAGGAAACATGGCGGGTTGAGATAACACCGGATTGAATGTGATTTCTCAGAAAATGACAAGTTACCTCAATATGTTTTGTTCGATCGTGAAAAACATCATTCGCCGCGATGTGTAACGCTGACTGGCTGTCGCAGTACAACATCATGGAGTTCTGATGGTTCACCCCGAGAGACGAAAGGAGTGATTTCAACCAAAGTAGTTCACAGGTAGTGACTGCCATGGACCTATATTCTGCTTCGGCCGATGAAAGAGATACAGTGTTTTGTCTTTTAGAACGCCAAGAAACAGGGGACTTGCCAAGCTGAATAATGTACCCCGAGAGAGAACGTCGAGTGCGAGGGTCTCCTGCCCAGTCGGAGTCGCACCAACCGTATAGCTTGAGGTCGGAGTCTGCACGTAAGAAAATGCCTTGGCCAGGGTGAAGTTTAAGATACCGGACTAGTCGAAGTGCTGCCTGCCAATGATCTTGCTGTGGTTTCTGCATAAATTGAGACAGAATGTGGACCGCATATGTAATGTCCGGTCGAGTGGCTAAGAGGTAAAGCAGTTTCCCCACTAACCGTCTGTATGGTTCTGGATCTGCGAGTTCAGCACTCGTGCTGATACTGAGTCGGTGATGTTGCTCCAAAGGAAACAGAGCGGGCTTCGAGGCTAAGAGACCTGTGTCAGCAATTAAATCCAGTGTGTACTTTCGCTGGCAGAGATAAAACCCATTTGAATTTTGTGCCACCTCAATACCTAGAAAGTACTTAAGATTGCCCAAGTCTTTCATCTTGAAACAATGACCGAGATATGCCTTGAATTCAGACATTGCCGTATCAGAATTACCTGTCAACAAGAGGTCGTCAACATATACTAGGACATGCAATCGAACCGAGCCTCTATTGTAGACGAACAGAGAATGATCAGATTGCTGTTGAGTGAAGCCGTATGTAGCGAGGGCTGTAGCGAGTTTTGCAAACCAGCAACGTGGCGCTTGCTTTAGCCCATATAAGGACTTTCGAAGTCGACAGACTACATTTGAATTTGCGACCCGAAATCCCGGTGGAGGTTTCATAAACACTTCTTCAGTGAGATCACCATGGAGGAAGGCGTTGTGCACATCCATTTGATGTACGGGCCATTGTCTTGCTGCCGAGACTGCGAGAAAGGTTCGGACAGTGACCATCTTTGCAACCGGAGCAAAGGTTTCCTCATAATCTATACCTTCAGTTTGCCGGTTTCCAAGAATGACAAGGCGGGCTTTGTGTCGCTCAATGCTGCCGTCGGATTTGTATTTTGTACGGAATACCCATTTGCATCCGATGGCTTTCTTGTTAGGTGGCAGGAATTCTAGAGTCCACGTACCATTCTGTTCCAAAGCTGTAATTTCGTCGGCCATAGCTTGTTGCCAGCGAAAATCAGTTGCAGCTTCTGCATACGAACGGGGTTCACTGTTCGCAGAGACTGAAGCGAGGAAGGCTTTATACGGAGTTGAAAGTCGACCATAGGACATAAAATTCTGTAGTGGATATGCTGGACCGGAGTCGACAGTGACAACATTGGTCACAAAATCCTTGAGCAAAACGCTTTGATACTTTTGTCTTTGCCCTCTCCCAAAATGTGGTTGTGAACTAGGAAGCAGAGGTTGAGATGATGCTGTTTCGTTATCAGACATCATTGGTGACGGGGAGTGTGATGAAACACCTGCTAGAGATTCATAATGTGGTGAATTTTGGGCAGAGCCGTCTGAATGGAGGCCCGATGGTGTAGGTGATAGGGTTGACACAGTATGAGGATCATCTTCATCAAGAAACACAGAGGATGGTTGCATCAGAGTAGGAGATGAGAGATGTTCTGCTGTATTGTGTAGAAAAGGGAAAATACCTTCAGAGAACTTAATGTCTCGAGAGACAAACATCTGTTTTGTCTCTAGATTGTATATCTTCCATCCTTTTTGCCCATATGGATACCCCAGAAATATGCAACGTGAACTTCGCGGTGCGAATTTATCTCCCGATCGTTTCTGATTGTAAGCATAGCATAGACTACCAAAGACTCGCAGGTGGCCGTAACTGGGAGCTTGACCATAAAGAATCTCATAGGGAGTGCGATAGTCCAGAATAGCCGAAGGGGTTCTATTTATTAGATAGGCTGCTGTTAACACGCTTTCTCCCCAGAAACGAGTCGGTAAATTTGCTTGAAAAAGCAATGCTCTAGCAATATTCAGAATGTGTCGATGCTTCCGTTCGACACGGCCATTTTGCTGGGGAGTGCCGACACATGATGTCTCATGTATTATTCCTTTCGACATGAAATAAGGTCGAAGGCAGATGAATTCGGTGCCATTGTCTGATCTGATCGTTTTGACAGAGGCTTTGAATTGTCGTTCTGCAAGAGCAATGAAATCTTTGAGCTTAGTTTGTGTTTCATGCTTTCCGGTCATGAGGAAAATCCAAGTTCCTCTGGAAAAATCGTCAACAACTGTCAAGAAGTATTTCGCTCCAGAAAAAGAAGGAAATCGATACGGGCCCCAAACATCACAATGCACAAGCTCAAAGATTGTAGATGCTTTATTATTGCTTATAGGAAAAGGATCTCGGGTCTGTTTTGCTCTTAGGCAAACATCACAAATACTAGAATCAAACATAGTAGATGCTGAAATATCAAGGTCAGGAATCTTCATCAGTGCTTTCGAAGAAAGATGGCCCATCCTCTGATGCCAGATATCAGGAGGCTGTTGTAGTTTCGTTCGAGTTGCAGATGAGGTTGCCGTACCTCTAAAATAAAATAAACCCCCGTGTTGCTCACCCACACCAATCAGCGTCCTGGAAGTCTGGTCCTGAATTGCACATAAGGAAGGAGCAAAGGTAACGTAACAATCAGATTCTGTCATCAATTGGCAGACAGATATGAGCTGACAATGTAATCCCGGCACAAACAGAACATGCGACAGATGAAGGTTTGGCCCAAGAATAACTGATCCTGACTGAGTTGACAACACTGTTCGGTTGTCTGGCAGAATAACCGAGCATGGTGGGATAGAAACAATATTGACCAGCGAGGACAAAGCGCCGGTCATATGTTGTGAACAACCAGTATCAAGTATCCAAGGAGGTGGAGAGAGCTTACCAGAAAATGTATCAGATTTCCCGATGGTGGAATTGTTCAACACAGACAGCAAATTGTTCCATTGATCTTGAGAAATTCCAGGAATCAGAGTGTTGGCAGCTGCTGTGACAGGGATGGAAGGTGTAGAAACTGAGACTTGCGTCGCATTGGCTCGGACAACAGATCCTCGAGCAGATGGTGGATTGCCTCTGCCACGGCCTCCACCTGTTCTGTGTCTTGGCCTTTCGCCCCACCAATCTGGAAACCCGATAAGTTGAAAACAACTTTCAGCAGGTCGTCAACATATACTAGGACATGCAATCGAACCGAGCCTCTATTGTAGACGAACAGAGAATGATCAGATTGCTGTTGAGTGAAGCCGTATGTAGCGAGGGCTGTAGCGAGTTTTGCAAACCAGCAACGTGGCGCTTGCTTTAGTCAGCAGGATGGCCATTTCGACCACAATTAGTGCACAGAATGGTCTTGTCCTTATCATCTGGCTTGAGTCGAGACTTCTGAGGAATCCGGACTGCGAAAGCAGCAGCATTGGTGTAGTCTTCGTGAATTTGGGTTACATGTTTTGCGTCTTCATCTTGAGAGACAGTATTGTATGCCTCTTCAAGGGTTGGCAGAGGAAGACGAGACAGAAGATTGGAGCGGACAACAGCGTACCTTGAATCATCAAGGCCTAGTAGGAATTCGAATAGCCTGTCCTCGTCACGTTCCTTCTCCAGAGTAGTGCTAATATCACAGGTACAGTTGTGACACTTGCAATGTTTCAGAGATCGAAAATTGGCCAAGTCATCCCAAAGCTTGGTCAATTTTCCGAAATAAGCTTCCACCGTCATTCCTTGTTGTCGACAATTAGCAATATCGCTGCGGATCTTGAGGAGACGAGGAGCATTGGATCTACCGAATCTTCTTTTGAGGTAGTCCCATAAATCTTGAGCAAGTTCGCGATGAACGACATCGGAACGGAGTTGAGGTTCAAGCGTATTCTTGATCCATGATGCAATCAGAGCGTTGTTTGTATCCCAGTCATCGAAATCTGTTGAAGTTGCAGCCGGTTGTGGAATCGTACCGTCGACGAAACCAAATTTCTTCCGAGATTTTAGCGCTTGTCGAATGTTGATTGACCATTCATCGTAATTCTCTCCTCGGAGTAGCGGTTGAGAGAGAATTAATCCGGGGTTGTCGTTCGGTGTCAAATCATAAGGTGAAATGGTTCTTCTCTGAGGAATCAGAGGTTCGGTAGTCGGAGTATTCTGGTTCATGGTCGGTTGTCCTGTCGGGTTCGTTTGAGGATCAGTCGAGTCTGGATTTTCTGGGGTCGAAGAAGAGGAATTGTTCGTCATTACGACAGAGAGGAAAAATCAAGAGATGTATGTTGCTCTGATACCATGATAAGTCTCAGATTCAAGGATTCAGAAAATGGTTTCTCATATCATTCCAAAACAGAGCATACACCACTTTATACTACCGAATGTTAAACTAACCTAGAACGATTCAAGGAAACAAAATATACATTCCAGATTTGTAGGAACAACTAAATATATACATGTTGTTTTTGGTTTTATATCAAATCTGGCGTACTGCCATAATAGTTTATGATTCTGGTTTTTGTTGTCATGTTCAGTTTTTTGTTTGCATGCAAAACTCTTTTGCTTGTTTTATAAATGGAACGTCGGTTTAAATAGACTATCATAATTACACTAAAAAACCTTAAACTATTACATTTACACAAAAAACTTTAGACTATAGATTACAATTACATAAAAAAAATATATGCTATAAATTATTTATCAAAATTTTAAACGATCATGGTTAAATAAAAAATAACTTTGCAGTTTTAAGTTCGTTATAACTTCATTTTATCTTTGTTTTGTATCGGATTTTATATTTGGGGTAAAAAATAATAAGAAAAATAAAAAAAACTAAATAATAAAAATGCTTGCATGTTTTAAAATATATTTTGAACTAGATTTGAATTTTGTAATAAAAAAATTATTTTTAATTAAAATATATATGACTTTTTTATATAGACTATATAAAAATTTTACTGTTTAATATTTTTTTCAGTCATTTCATGTCACGATTACTAAGTATTCATTTATAATTAAAAATATTATAATTTAGGTTTTTATGAAGGGTTTGAAATATAAGATTTATTTTTTTAAGTATATTAATATAGTTTAAGGTTCTTATAAAAAAAATATAGTTTAAGGTTTTAACAATGGACGGTTATTAACGTATTAATACAACATAATTGTTACTTTACAAACGCACTGTGAATAGGACAAATTAAATTCTACTTTGATCAGAGGAGGAGAACTTATTAATCAAGTAATGTATAGGCGGATTTCCTGGGTATAATACAATTAGGGTTTATATAAACAACTACTTTGAACTCCATTATAATTTTTTTATATTTGATTTTATAATTCGGTTAAAGACGAAATAAAAACAATAAATTAGGGGTGTGAATCGAAATGACAACCCAACTAGGGTGTCTATCGGGCTTATCGGGCTGATTTGACCCGACCCAGGGTGAATCCACACCCGGTCCAAAGGTTTTAGGCTCGGTATGACCCGATTTTTTTGGACCCGACCCGAAAGCCCGATTTTTTTAGGCCGAGAAACTTAGGCCCGAAACCTACAAATTTTCAGGTTGGACCGAGCCGGACTTCGGGTCTCGGACCCAAATTGACACCCCTAAACCCAACCCAAGTCTGCACTTGGTTCGAAGGTTTCGGACTCAGACTCATGCCAGACCAATTTTTTTTGGACCTATATAACCAAGCCCGAAATCCGATCTTATAAGTTTCGGGCTCGGATCGGCCCCACCCGTTAAATTCTTTTGTAATTATATATTTTTTTTCATTTTTTCAATTAATTAAAAAAAAATCGAATTTTTTTACCGAAAAATTTAGGCTCGAAACCCAACATTTTTCGAATGAATTCAGACCGTACCTCGGATCTCGAACCTAAATTGACATCCTATAATAAAATAAATAATAAAACCAATTGCAATTTTTAAAATCTATTTGAATTAAATTGGAGTCGTATAACAAAAATATATTTCTAATTAAATATATATATATACATTTATATAATGTGTGTATATGCATGTCAATATAGTTAGAAAAAAAAAAGGACCCGACAAGAATTGTAAGAAAATGGATAGAACCTTATGAACGGTGACAACACATAACTCCGACAAGTCAAAAGCAATCAGAATCTACGCATAATTCACTCGTACGTTCTTTGCAAACTCCGAAGAACCGATATTACAACAAATGCTCTCTTGATTACAGAAGGTTATCACATCGAAATGGAATATAAATCGAATATGAAACAAGAACACCACCGCATCACAATATTACACAAGGTGATATTACAATATGCGCGTGTATATATATATATAATAGGTACATGTATGAAAAGACGAGGTGTATCCTTTAACAGCCAGCTGCTTTCAAGAACTTGTCGTAAGGACTCGAAGGCGGTAGCCGAAAAGAGTTATATCCCATTTCGTGCCCGCAGGCGGAGTGCTGGTTACAAGGTTCAACTTGAGCCAATGCCATTGCCTTCATATCATCTTCTGCAGCTTCCTTCTGCAACGGGCCATAATAAAATAGATACAATGTTTTTATATATAATCCATACTATTAAGCATATTGCTAAAGGTTGGATTCAGTAATGGGTTTGGTCCAATGGCTGTTTAGCCGTTGTGGAAAAAACTTGCCTTGTTTCATTCAGTGGAGACAGAGAGTTTTTATATTGATCAAAGGACAATACAATGGAGCAGAATGAACTCACCCCTTTGAGAAGCAAGACCTCTTCCTTCTTGTCATCATCTTCTTCCAATATCGATATTGCCTTGGTTTCTTTGAGTTTGAAACTTTGAAGTACAGACATCTTCTGCTGCTTACCCGTCACAAGGGCTTCGCACTGATTCATCATTTGGTCATAAGGAATAGGTGTGGAGGAAACTCGGGAACTAACGACATGTCGAGCAGTTTCTGTTACCTGCTCGTAACCAGGATAAATAAACGAATCACTCAAAAGAAACCACCAATGATTACTCGATTTTCCATCTCTCTAGAAAGAAACCCCTCTCTTATTCCGAGAAATGGAATGAGTGCATTACCGATTCTAACAGCTCATTGACACTCAGAATATCGGCCGTGTTTGTGGACAATGAAGTTCTGCCCCCAGACTGACTCCCATTAACCTCTGGAGAAGTTTCTCCATATGCCACTATAGCCGAAAGCTCAACCTGAAGGAACACCATGAACGTAAGGAACTCTCCTCTGTACAAATGCAAAATCAAAGCATTACACGAAATGTAGTTCCTTGTGAAGTTAATACCTCTTCGAAGGCTGGAAATTCTGTTTGATTAAGAGGTGAACTGGGTCCTGGTGTGTCCATGTACAATGGTGCACCTAGTGGGAGTGCATCATCTGGTAAAAATTCCGACAGAATTTGCTCTTTCAAGTTCGATGCCTCATCCTACAACATCAGACAGGAAAAGGTGGATCGAAAAAAATGTGAAATCACCCGACAAGATACTATTAAATTTTATAGAACATTGCATGAGATGGTCTAAAAGATAGATTGGCCTTGCTTTATTCTGTTCCCCTATGTTCACACGTATCCATAGTTTCGGACCAACCACTACGCTAGAGCAATTATCTTGACATCTAAAAGAACATGGACCAAGCATATGGTTAATCTGTTACCCGAACAAGGCTCAACAGTAATCAAATCTGCGTCAATTTAAATAAATTACTCTGCATGAGAGTCCTCTCAAGCTAACAATAACTTGCATAGTCCACTGATGAGTTTGATATCTAGTTAAATGCATACTTTCCTCAAAATCAAATTACCAGGCATGGCTATGCCATTTATAGCAAGTACCTCTGATAATGTTTCGAAATTAGCTGCAAAGTGAGAAATCACAATTTCCTTCAAACGACTGTCATCAGATTCTGTTGCTAAAATGGAATTGAAAGTAGTCACATCATTTTCCTCAGACGCATATACTGCCACTCCTTCGTGTGGAAATGCATCACAAGCAGCCCGTAATCTGCTATCTCCTTCCAGCTTAAGATAGGGGTCAACCTACCGAAGAAGACAAAATTGGCATACATATTAAAAAGAAGCTCAGCAACAAGCATTTTTTTCAGCATGTCTGAGTCTGAAAAAATAAAAAGGACAAATGCGATAAAAAGCTCACCGTTTGGTCAGTTAAAGATGCTTTGATAATTGGAATTAGCTCCAAGAGATTGCAAACCTTGGCTGTGAAAATGAGCATATATGATGCAAAAGTGAAGAGAGATCTTCTACGAGATGGCTGCATACCTCCTTGAGAATCACAAAAGAAACAAACATCAAAAATAATCTCAATGGAATAGAGAGTTCAAGAAAGTTACGTTACCCCTTTTGCAGCCACACGAAAAAGAGAGACCTCACTGACATTTCACAGGCCAAAGCATCTTTTCAATGAAAGTGAGAGGACAGACCAACCCGAAATGTGACCACTAGTAAATAATTCAACACTGCTAATCTTCTGAGAAATCTCTCTAATTTTGTAAGTGTAAGAAAAACCTAAAAACTGCTCTATTCCATGTGAGAATGTGACCCTGCATTGAGTCTAGTTTCTTTTGACATCCAGTTATCCTATATTGACTACAGAATAAGAGCAAAGGAACAACTAGCTTAACAACAAGACAGAGACTACGATATAAAAAAACATTCACCATCAACAAAACAAGACCTATATAGATAATAAGAAATAACAATAAATAGCTCTAACCCTTAACCTATACATAGGTGCCTTTCACCACCAAGTCAGAAATATGCATCAAAGTATCATAACAATCCGTTCTGGCAATTTCTTTATGAAGATGGAAAAGCATTGAGCAAATCATTAACTTACCATCTTGAGCCAAAGAGAGACTTCGAAGAGAAAAGGCCAACTGAAAGCACCGTACCAGCACCACATGACTCGACGTCTGCCATTTGCATTGACATAAAAGCTAAGAAAATTAACAAACTAAAAAAAAACCTTTGACCTATTCAAGAAAGACAATGCCATTGGAAACGAAGATGCGTTATAAAAAGTAAATTCCAGTAATTAGTCAATGCATCAATAGCAACAAAAAACTTAATAGATATGAGCAATTAAAATAGTCAAGCTATGAGCAAACAGAGTGCCCAAAGGATGTTAATTCAACTAACATAAGATCTATAAACTAACCTTTGCTCGTGAAAACAGCAGAGTGATATTATACGTGTGTGCCATGGCCTCAAAGTTTGCAGGGGTATTATCAGTAGAAGTTGCCTGAATCCACAATGATGAAAGCAGCATATTCACTTGGTGACTACTCAGTCGGAGCGAAGATAATGACTGTGAATACATTAAAATGGATTAATAGTTAGTAAGTATCAGATACATTCACATTAAAGGAAAATAATTCTACTTGGCAATTGAAACCATAAGGGGAAAAGTACAAAGAAACATAAATTTGGAAGTTCACCTTTATGCGACCAGCAACATCCTTGAAATTATCCAAAGACTGCCAATTAAATTGTTGTCTTGTAGATTCTGGTACATTGGAATGAGATATCTGTCTTTCTTTATTCAGTTCCCCATTCAAGGATTCCTCAGCTTTATCTTTATATTCATCATAGACAGAATTCTCAGTCTCTTTTTTATGGGTTCTGTTAACTGACGAAACCCCAGAAAGAGCCTCTGAGGTTTTCTTATGTTGATTTGACAAAGGCAGAAGAAGAGATTGAAGGAGGAGGACAGAGAAAATATTATGTGCCCCAACTCTTGTTTCCCAATCTGTGTGGGACATTGCAAGGAACAGCTGGTGAAACAATGCATCGGGAAATACCTGAGACATATCACAGATCATGATAAAGATAGGATATATTCAAATAGTTGATTGCAATACCCAAACACCAAATGATCTCACTTACCTTCTTGTGGTAAGAAATGTTAGGGACTACAGATACTATATCTGCAGCACGAAGAACAGCTGATGTTGTGGTCCTAGCCGTGAGTACATTAGTGGATATGGTCTCAAGAACCACACTTAACATATCAAGAATGGGCCCTACATCCCCAACCTTTATAAGGAACCAGATTAGCAAAGTTACTATAAAGCATTTAGGAAGAGGAGTAATAGAATAACGACAAAAAAGGAGAGCAGATCAAGTCAATTGAAAAAATAATGAGTGAACATAAACACAATTGCGACAGAAAAAAAAGTAAGGAATCCCCAAGATAAAGGTGGAACAAAACCACAACCAGAACAGAGAAACAACAAATTATTCAAAGTTCTGAAGGAAAACTTTGTTCAAGAGTCTAATGCGGTACAAGTGCTGCTCAATTATCTTAACCATACTATCTGCTAATACTACATTGCTAATTTGCAGCATCCCGAAGATTGTAAATTGCAGATGCTATAAGATAAGAACCTCTGTTCTTACCAACATGCGCCACAACCAAAGAACTCAAATATGTAAGTCAAATATGCAACTCCAGATCACTGCCCATTTACTAACATTTCTCAATAGAAAACAACGAACTATTAGCTGCGAGGATATAATAGACAAATCTAACGTTACTATATGCAGCTCATCTAGCTTCTCCTTTCCCCAAGGTGACTACTAATATAAAGAAACAAGATTCCACAAGATCGATTGAACTCACATTCTCTGAAGCATGTTCAGCCGATTATATTCTTGTAATATGTGGCATATAAAACATAATCCATGAAACTACTTGCTCTCCTTGAAGTCTGATCTATAGACAATAGTTAAAATTCAAAACAGCAAAAAGGTATACTCTAACAAACCTTATTTGAGAGTTCCCGGATGCATTTTTCCAAAGCATTCTGAAGTTCAGAGTTTTGCTTAATTTCACCAGCAACCACAGATGGTTCAGCTGCATTTTGCAAGCATTTTCGCAAGTGTTTTACTAAGTCAGCTATTGCAGCAGTAATCGTGACTGAACCCTGATGCTTTGCATTTCGTGCAAGGTATGTGGCCATGTTAACAATGTCAATTTGAAGGCTTTGTTGCTTCATTACATTCTTATGATCCAAGTGCTTGATCAAAGTTGATATCAACAGATGGCAATTTTCTCCTGCAATGAAACTTAATCAGTAAGTTGTATCAGAAAATTTTTAAATAATAATAGCATAAGAAAAGATAGCAGACCAGATATCCCAACCTGATTCTTCCAGGCAAGACTGCAGAAACAATAAAACAGAAGAGGCAACTCCCTTTTGTGGAGACCAGTAATTCCCAACATCAAAAGCATTAAAAAGTGGTTCAAGAACGCGCCGAACAGTTGTGGTTTCCTTTGCTAATCTGGCTACATTGCAAAGGCAAACCATAGACCAGTATGAGGGGCTCTTTGAAGTATCCCTGCCAGATTGATGAATTGATCAAACAAAACATCAGTTGAGTGCAATACACTTCTCAGTTTAAATTAATGGATATATGCGACATTAAAATTTTAAACTGAAGCCTTACATGTTTTCCGAATGAAAGCCAGCCACTTGATTAGGTCTAACAGTAATAGCTCCGCTCGAATTGGGAAAACGCAAGCCGTTTTCTTGATGATTCTCAGTTTTCGAACTTCCACAAACTTCCTCCGAGTGGACTTGGTTACTCTCTATATCCATGTAGTTTCCCAGAATCACAGAAATGATCTGATTTAACAAGGAAAACGTGCTCAACCCAACACCGCACCGATAATAGTACATATATTTAAATTCATACATACTATAACATAATTTCAAGGTTTAGATGGCTCACACTGTCAAAGTCCATTGATATTTGGGAATGCTCGCCCATGAAAGATACCTTGCAAAAATGTACTGAATGTTGTTACTAACGAAAAGTGCACTCAGCCCCCAAAAACAATGCTTTTAGCAGCACCAACTGTTAAAACTACACGGTTCATTATGAATTCTAGATCTAGACAAGCTGAGTAGGGATTGGTACCATTTTCACTATACTTCATTCTAAACATGAAAACCAAATTAAAACTATGGCACTCAGCCCCCAAAAAGTTTCTCCAATATACAAGAATTTGAATATCCAATATAAATTACAGATGCATATAAACAATGCAACTAAGCACATAAAAAGACCAAGGTGAATCCTTAACTACTAGCAATGGAAGAGAACTTGACCGTGCCTATTTAAGACGTGTTCTGGAATATGGCTATGGGATACAAAATCTCGATGAAAGATAGATTTTGGGACACCTTAACAGAAAAGGAAAAAACAAAATAAACCATACCATGTATGCCAATGCCTGAATTCCTGCT